AAATTTTTTTTAAGGCATACAATAGGTGGAGCCCTATCTTTACATTTTTCTACTTAAGGTGCTTTTACTTTTTTGTTTTCATTTCATAGTGTTCAACCCCAGTTAAAATTGCTTAAAATACCTCCTTCACACTTCACAAACCTAAATTAAGCTATGTCTAAAACCAATGGCTAGCCAAAGTAATGCTATGAAATCATTTGCAGAATTAACCTGTGATATTCTTTTTGAATTAGTGTTTCTGTTTTTGAGTAAATACCCAGTAACAGAATTACTAGATCACTAGGGTACCTGGGCTCAGCTGGTTGCATGTCTGACTCTTGATTTTGGCTCAGGTCATGATCTCAAAGCTCATGGGATCAAGCGCCATGCTGAGTGCTGCTGTCAGCACAGAGACTGCCTGGGATTCTCTCTCCTCCCATCTCTCTCTCTCTCTGCCCCTTCCCTGCCCATGCTTTCTCTCCCTCTAAAAATAAATAAACATTAAAAAAAAAAGAATTACTAGATTACGTGTTATTGCCATTTCTAAATTTTTGAGGAATTGCCATATGGCTTTCCACAGTGGTTGCACTGTGGATTACACAATTTACATTCCCACCAACAGGGCTTGAGGATTCCGTTTTCTCCACACCTTCACCAACACTTGTAATTTCTTTTCTTTTTTTTCCCACCTTTTTAATACTAGCCAGATTGAAAAAAAAAAAAAAAAAAAGACCCAACTACTACATGCTGCCTAGAAAAGACTCACTTTAGCTTTAAGAACATGGATAGGATCAAACAGGATGGAAAAAGTTAATTCCAAGTAGACAGAAACCATAAGTGATCAAAAGTAGGTATACTTATATCAAGACAAAATACTATTTTTAACTTAAAATACAAAATACAGTTTTTAACTTAACAGACCAAAAAAAATCATTATGTATTATTAAAGGGATTAAGTAATAAAGAGTATATAACAATCATAAATATATATACACCCAACACTAGAGCACCTAAATATATTAATCAAACACTAACAGATCTGCAGCAAGAAGTAAACAAATATACAATCATAATAGGAGACTTTGGTACCCCATTTTCAATAATGAATTGATCACAAGGCACCTGGCTGGCTCAGTCAGAAGAGCATGTGACTCTTGATCTAAGGATTATGAGTTCAAGCCCCATGATGGATGTGGAGATTGCTTAAATAAATAAACAAACAGATAAATAAATAGATAAACAAAAATGGATTGGTCAGGCAGACAAAATCAATAAGGAAACACTGAACTATACTTTAGATCCATTGGACCTAACTGGCATACACAAAACATTGCAACCAACAGCAGCAGAATACACACTCTTCTCAAGGGCCCACAAACATTCTCCAAGATAGATGATATGGTAGGTCACAAACAAGTCTTAGCAAATTTAAGAAGACTGAAATTATACCAAGTATGTTTTCTGAACAAAATTCTATGAAACTAGAAAATAATAAGGAAAACTGGAAACTCACAAGTGTAAATTAAATAACACATACCTGAACAACCAATGAGTCAAAGAAGAAACCAAAAGAAATCGAAAGGGAATTTTAAAAAGACCTTGAAACAAATCAAAATGGAAACACAATATACAAAACCTACTGGTTGTAGCAAAAAGTAGTTCTAAGCAGGCAGTTCGCAGTGACAAATGCCTACAATTAAGAAACAAAGATCCCACGGGCACCTGGGATCAGTTAAACATCTGACTCTAGTTTCAGCTGGGGTCATGGGCTCATGGTTTGGGAGTTTCAAGCCCTGCATCGGCCTCTGTGCTGACATCATGGAGCCTGCTTAGGATTCTCTCTGTCCCTCTCTCTCTGCCCCTCCCCTGCTCTCTCCCTCTCTCTCTCAAAATAAATGAATAAGCTTAAAAAAACAACAACCACAAAGATCCCAAATAAACAATTAACTTTACACCTCAAAGACATAGAAAAAGAAGAACAAATCAAGACAAAAGTTAGCAAAAGGAAGGAAATAAGATCAGAGCAGAAATAGGGACTACAGAAAAATAGAAAAGATCAATGAAGCTAAAACTGGTTTTTTGAAAAGATAAGCAAAATTAACACACCATTAGTCAAAGAAAAAAAGGAGCAAAGACTCAAATAAATTTAGAATTGAAAGCAACATTACAACTGATACTAAAGAACGTATCATAATCTCACTTAGAATGATTATGCCAACAAATTGGATAACCAAGAAGAAATAAATTGCTACAAACATAGAATATATGAGACTGAATCATTCATAGAAAATCTTAACAGACTAGTAATGAGTAGGAGACTGAATCAGTAATCAAAAACATCTCAAGAAAGAAAATCCCAGGACCAGATGATTTCACTGGTGAATTCTACCAAACATTTAAAGAGTTAACAATCCTACTTAAACTCTTCCAAAAAACTTAAGAATACTCCCAAACTCATTTTACAAGGCTATTACTCTGACACTACAAGAAAAGTACAGTTCAATATTCTTGATGAATAGAAATGTAAAATCCTCAACAAAATATGAGCAAACAGAATTCAGCACATTAAAAGAGTCCTACATCATGATTAACTGTGATTTGTACTTGGGATACAAGGATGTTTCAACATATACACATTAATAAATGTGATTCATCACATTAATGGAATAAAGGATAAAAATCATCTCAATGCATGCAGAAAAGTCATTTGACAAAAAGTCAACATCCTTTCATGATAAAAAATTCTCAACAAATTCATCACAGAAAGAATGTACCTCCATATAAGGAAGGCAATATATGACATACAGCCAACTTCATAATCAATGGTGCATAAAGCTTTTCCTCTAAGATCAGGAACAATACAAGGATGCTCATTCTTGCCACTCCTTTTCAATGTAATACTGGAAATACACATATTTCTAGACATGTATTTTTCATGCCACTGTAATTGATATCTTTAAGTTTTCATTTTCTATCTATTGCATAAACTTTATTTTTAAAAACGTTATATGCAGAAACCTTGCTACTTCCCACTTCTAATAATTAACGTATACATTTTAACCTTCTATGTATACAATTTTATCAACAAATGTGTTTTGTTGCTTTCCAATCATTATACCAATTTTTTTCTTGCCTGATTTCCCTGGGTAGGTCCTTCAATACAATATTGAATAAAACTGGCAAAAATGGACATTGTGTTTTTTCCAGACGTTAGAGAGAAAATTTTCTATACACCAGTAAATATTAAATTTTGTGATTTTTATAGCAATATATATTATGTCATGATCAGATTAATGAGGTTCCTTAGAAGGTGAGAAGGCAAAATAGAAGGCCCATAATAAGACAGAGACTCGAGTCTTTATTTTCCTTACATAATTCTCCTGTCACTATATTATCATTTCCTTCTCACAAAATTTCTGTATGTTCTGGAGACCCTGACTTTCCCATGTCTCTCCAGAAGGGCCAGGTGGGGCCAACTTCCATCAAGGCCTCTCAAAGTAGATCACTCCGTGCTACATGCTGAAGGTTTTATTTCCCAGATCCAAATGGCCAGTTATATGCAGCATCAAACAGTTCACAATGACACAAATCATTTTTTCACATGCTTGCACATCTTTTTGGGATATGTCGTGTTCTCTGCAGAGGTTCCCATACAAAGTCTTACTTCTCAGAGTAAACACTGGGGCCCTGCAGAAAAAGTGTCAGCTAAGCAGGACATATGGAGGAATCAAGTAGGAATTTTATTGCAGAAATCATATTTAGCCACACTGGTCACAACATCCCTGCCACACAGGATGCTCTCCTAAAGATTCTTATGGGAGAAGAATTCGTGCCACAACAAAGTATAAAGAAACATTTTAGAGATAGCAGGTGGGATTTTTACGTCCTGATTCATACTTACCCATGTAAGCTATCCTAGGCACATCTTCCACATTACCTATGGGAGGACCACTCACTTCTCAGGAAAAAGAATTGGTGCTTCAGGAAAAGGGTAAATCAGGATCGGTGGTGGTATCACACAGGGTCTTTATGTGCAAATACCATAATTTATACGCGTTTGCAAAATAACATAAGTAAAAGTGAAGTCTCCATAATAGTATGAGTTAGGCCACCAGGCACTAGAGCAGTGAAATGGACAAAGAGAATAGGAAATCAGGGAAATCAGACACAGTGTCTGGAATGCAAATCAAGTTTAAATGTGGACATATGGTTATTAGCAACCTCCTGCAAAAGAACAGAGAGGAAAGATAAATAAAACATGAGCTAATGACATGTTCTCTGCCAGAACTCCATAGATAGATGAGGCAACAAATACTGTGGATGAAAAAAGGCTTCTCTGAAGTCACACAATCTATGAGTAATGGAATAAGCATTAAAACCTATGACCATCCGTGTCTTTCCATCACACTAAAGTCCTAGAGGGGAGGAGTAAATCAGAGAAACAGCAAGAAGAGTCAATTCCAAGATCCTAGGTCCATCCACTGACACAGATCAACTTATATTCTTGAATCGAAAAACAAAAAGACCACATCTATTGGACCTTATTAATACATTTTTCCATCTATCTACAAGAATATATTTCTTTTCTTACATGTACCTTTACAGGTGACAATCAAATTCTTCTGTCAAGCAGTTTCTAGGTTGTGGCATCTACTGAGTCAGGCTTTCTTCTTGTACTCTATAGGGAATTACTTCACAGACATAATTATGCCAAGCTAACATTAATAAAATTACCACTCGCCCAATTCTTATTATGTAACATAATCACAAATATGTAACTTCAAAATAGACTATATATGTAACTTGTATAATTAATTCAGTTCATAATCTCAGAAGTCTTATTTACATGCCAGTGAAAATGCCCATTATTTATATAACTGAGATGTTTGTATTATCTTTGATAAAAAAAATACATTAGAAACTTTATTTCTAGAAACTTTATTTCTCATGAAATCCCTAAGTTTGTGGTATTTATTATGGCTTAAGCACATACTGAAGACTTTTCTGTGCTTATTCCATCCTTATGATTTTACCACCGTATGAATTCTCTGATGGACAGTGAGCTGTGACTTCTGGATGAAGGCTTTCCCACAAATAGCACATTGATAGGGTCTTTCTCCAGTATGAATTCTCTGATGTAAAACAAGGTCTGACTTCTGGGAAAAGGCCTTTCCACATTCAGCACATATGTAAGGTTTCTCTCCTGTATGAATTCGCTGATGCCCTGGGAGGTGGGACTTCTGAGAGAAGGCTTTCCCACATTCACTGCATATATAATGTTTTTCTCCTGTGTGAATTCTCTGATGTCCAATGAGATGTGATTTCTGACAGAAGGCTTTTCCACATTCGCTGCATTTATAGGGTTTTTCTCCAGTATGTGTTCTCTGATGAATGATGAGCTGTGACTTCCGGGAGAAGGTCTTCCCACATTCAGTACATTCATAAGGTTTCTCCCCAGTATGAATTAACTGATGGGTAATGAGTTCTGTCTTCCTGCTGAAGGCTTCCTCACATTGAGCACATTTGTAGGGTTTCTCCCCAGTGTGAATTCTTTTATGTATAATGAGGTGGGACTTCTCGCAGAAGGCTTTCCCGCATTCAGTACATTCATATGGCTTCTCTCCAGTATGAGCTCTATGATGTATAATCAGCTGTGACTTCTGGGAGAAGGCCTTCCCACACTCTCTACATTCATAAGGTTTTTCACCAGTGTGAACTCTCTGATGTGTAATGAGGGAAGATTTTTGAAAGAAGGCTTTTCCACATTCAGAACATTCGTAAGGTTTCTCTCCAGTATGAATTCTCTGATGTACAATGAGATGTGACTTTTCACTGAAGGCTTTCCCACATGCACCACAATCATATGGTTTCTCTCCAGTATGAATTCTTTGATGTATAATGAATTGTGACTTTTTTAGAAAAGATTTTCCACATTCAATGCATATATAGGTCTTCTCTCCAGTTTCAACATTCACATATTGAAAAAGAGACTGTTTATTGCTGATCATCTTTTCACATTGACTATCTTCACAGCGTTTAACTCCAATATGAATTTTTTCCGGCTTAGAATAGTAAGAAATAGGTGTACTCTCACATCTAAAATTCTCAACAATGTTTTTTCTTGCATAACCGCTATTACAACTGAATAAGTTTATATTAGGTATCAAGCTCTTTTCAAATGAGTCACATTTATACAATCTTTGTCTTGAAGCACCTGGGTCTGTGCAGTCAGACCTAGATGTGCAGTCATGAAATATTTGTCCTGATAACTTATATGTGTAACCTGATTCTTCAACAACTCTTTTAGTTTTCGATGACCATGACTTGCCTGAGAAGTCTGTCTTTATTTTCCTGATCTCTCTCCATCTGGTCATCACTCTGCCAAATCTTAAAAATGGAGTACAGTGAATGATCCCTTTTTACACTTTCCACTATCTCCTTATAGAAGGAAACATCTCCAGGTATATCCACTTGAGGGTTGTCAAGTCTAGTCTCCCTCTCTGAAAGAATAAAGACATAAAATCAAACAGATATAAAGATTTAGTAGAGGACAAATGGATGATACAGGATGGTCTAAGAGACAGAGAACTGGGAAGGCAACAGGCCATTTAAAACATGTAAATTAATCATATGAGAAATTAAAAATGGACTTTACTTCTAATAGTAATGGCATGCATTAGTTGAATTCTCCTTCCCAAAAAACGAGTACGAAAACAAAGAAAATGATTTAAAAAAAATAAACAACAACCAATTCATGGTACTGAAAAACTACCAAAGGCAGGTCATTAGCTGAAAAGTGCTTATTCACCCAAAACTTCTTTATTAGATAAGAATGGGGAGCTTGTGAAATTTTTTTCTCAGGTTTTCCCATCTCAGCCATCCTACTTTATGGGGCATTGAAAGATAACAAAAATCCACAGGATATCCAATACAGTTTAATGCTGTTAGCAGAGCAGTTCCATCATCATACTGTAACCCCTACAGATATACTACATGTATGTAGAGACTAAAGTATGAATAAAAATTCAATAGGGAAATTAAAATGGTATACTAAAAAACATTCTTTTAACACAAAAGAAGACAGGAAAAGAAAAAGGACCAAAAGAGATTAAACAAACAGAAAACAAATAGCAAAATGGTAAATATAAATCAAAACAAATCAATAATTACATTAACTGGAAATGGAATAATACTACAGTCAGAAACTGTCAGGCTGTATAAAACAGTTAAGAATCAACTATACACTGCCTATAATAACATCACTTTATTATTTTTTAAATAGTTATTATTTTGAGAGAGAGTGCAAGTTCATGAGGAGGAACAGAGAGAGAAGGAGACAGAAACCCATACTGTCGGCTCAGAGCCCAAAGCAGGGATCAATCTCACAAACTGAGAGATTATGACCTGAGCTGAAATCAACAGTTAAACGGTTAACCAACTAAGCTACCCAGGAACCCCAAGAAATTAACTTTAAATTCAAAGACAAATAGGCTGAAAATAAAAGAATGGGGAGGAAAACATCATGCAAACTCTTAAGCCTAAGAGGTGAAGTAGCTATGTTAATATTACACAATATTCAAGATAACAAATATTATTAGAAACAGATGTATTTCAAAATTGCAAAAGGAGATTTGCAAGAAGATATAACAATTATAAATGTATTTGTACCTAACCACAGATGCCCACAACACACAAATCAAAACTAACAAAAATGAAAAGAAAAAAGATAAATTAATAATTATGTCTAGAGATTTCAACATCTCTCTCACAATGATGTATAAAAGAAGTAAACAAACAGACAAAGAGGGGCGCCTGGGTGGCTTAGTCGGTTAAGCGTCCGACTTTCCGACTTTCGCTTAGGTCATGATCTCGCGGTTCGTGGGTTCGAGCCCCGCGTCGGGCTCTGTGCTGACTGCCAGCTCAGAGCCTGGAGCCTGTTTCGGTATGTGACTCCCTCTCTCTCTGACCCTCCCCTGCTCACGCTGATTCTCTCTCCTAGAAATAAATAAAACATTTAAAAAAAAAAAAAAAAACAAACAGACAAAGAAACAATAAGCATCAATAAACCTGACATCTACAGATACCCCATCCAACAACAAAATACACATTCATTTCAAGAATACATAAAAGAAACATCAGAATAGACTATATGCGGGTTTCAAAACAAGTTGTAATAATTTTATGAGGACAGAAATCATACAGCATACATTCTCCAACCATAATGAAATTAGAAAGAAATTATCAAAAAGGAATCTCGAAAGTTCCCCCAAATGTTTAGAAAATAACATACTTGTATATAACCTATATGTCAGAAAGTCCAATAAGAAATTAGAAAATAACTTGAATGAAAATGAAAACAGTATGTCAAAACTTGTGAGACACAGAGCAATACTTAGAGAACAAATTATATGACGGTGATCCTCATTTTGCATGATTCTGACATGCATGAATTTCAGTACAGTTTCGTTAAGTAATACCAGCCTGGCAACAACACAGTTCATGTCCAATGAACTTTTTTTTCTTTTTATTTATTTATTTAAAAATAAATTTTTAATGTTAATTTATTTTTGAGAGAAAGACAGAGCATGAGCAGGAGAGGGTAGGAGAGAGAGGGAGATGCAGAATCCGAGCAGGCTCCAGGCTCAGAGCCTGATGTGGGGCTCGAACTCACGGTGAGATAATGCCCTGAGCTAAAGTCAGGTGCTCAACTGACTGAACCACCCAGGTGCCCCCACAGTTCATGTTTTAATTACCCCAGTATACTACCTGTGATTAATAGGGTAAAGTATAAACTTCACTGCCAGCATTTGAGTCCACAAATCCACTATGTAAATAACAGATACACATCATGATCAGTACTCAATCATTTCACTTTTTTCAAAGTCTGTTATCAATTATTAAGTCTTTAGGTATGTAGCCAGAAGAACTAAGTGAAGGCAAAAATTAATTGACCCACAGATCAGACAGCTCGCCCTATTACTGACCCCTACATGTATGTATGACCCCAACACTCATCCCAGACTTCCCATTAGACTCCACAGACCTCCAATTACTGACCCTCGCAGATGCCCCCCTCCAATATCAACGCCAGACTTCCTCATGACTCAACTCATAAACCCCACTTCTACTCCCAGCTCGATTATCAGGTCCCAAAACATCGATCACAGTTTAACCCGGGACAGTTGTCACGGATTAACGTGGATTGACCAATTCTCTTGCTTCCTGTCTGGGTGAACACAGCATAGGATTCTCAAGCATGCACCCAGGTATACTGTGTGGTTTTGCCCACTCCGCATCCTCTGCGGCTTTGTTCAAGAGGAAAGATGGCCACCCCTGGGGCGTTGTGTCTCACTGCGGAAGCCACCATCTTGAGAGCCCGCCAATTCCCTATAAGAGGAGGAATTTGGTTTATTCCTAGCTTGAGTTTGGACTGTGTGATTGCAGCGGCAAGGAGAGCGGGCAAGATGACCAAAAGGAAGATTATACAAACCAGTGTGGTGCAAAGTTTTGCAGAGAGCTCTTAAAGGAGGATTGGGGAAGAAGGTGCAGTAGTACTGTCCTTTACTGGAAGACTAACTGGGGAAAGAGGAATTTGGAATGGTGCAATCCTTTTGCAGGAATTCTACTTAAGAGTGCTGGTAAATGGTACAGCCCTATGAAGGGAGGATTTGGCCTATACAAGGGGGATTCCACTGTGGGACAGAGGGACAAAAATGATGGAAGGATTCATGGGGGGCAGAGAGGGATCATAACACCCCTAATTATGCTAAAATACAATGCTAAGGAATTGCCTGGGAGAAATTACAACTACAGTAATATGCTGCAAGGACTGTCTGATGAAAAAAGGAAAACTGAGACAGTGAAGAGACTGAACACAAAATAAAAGAGAATCTGAGGAACAGAGAATGGAGACTAAGGGACAGAAGTGGGGGATGCTGAGACTGAAAGGCTGAGGTCTGAGATGAGGGGAGAATGCAGAAGGGGGAAGTCTGAAAGGGATAAAAAGGACACTGAATGAGTATAAGGGGAGACGTAGGTAGGGTGACTAAGTCCCAAGGTTTGTCTGGAATGTCCTAGGAAATCCTTCCTTGGGACTTGAAAGGTCTCAGTTTGAGGAGATGGATGGGAAAAGTTGAGGGAAAGTGCAAAACCTATAAGGTGACCTAAAAACTAAGGCAGTAAGCAACAACGTTTTTATTTTCTAAATATAATTTATTGTCAAGTTAACTAACATACCGTGTCTACGGTGTGCTCTTGGCTTCGGGAGTAGATTCCCATACTTCATCGCTTACATACCACACCCAGTGTTCATCCCAATAAGTGCCCTCCTCAATGCCCATCACCCATCTTCTCCTCCCATCAACCTTCAGTTTGTTCTCTGTATTTAAGAGTCTCTCATGGTTTGTCTCCCTCTATGTTTGAAACTATTTTTTCCCCTTCCCTTTCCTCATGGTCCTCTGTTAAGTTTCTAATCATCGAGACAATATGGTATTGGCACAAAAACAGACACATAGACCAATGGAATAGAGAACCTGGAACTGGACCCACAAATGTATGGCCAACTAATCTTTGACAAAGCAGAAAAGAATATCCAATGGAAAAAAGACAGTCTCTTTAGCAAATGGTACTGGGAGAACTGGACAGCAACATGCAGAAGAATGAAACTGGACCACTTTCTTACACCTAATACACAAAAATAAACTCAAAATGGATGAAAGACTTGAATATGAGATTGGAAACCATCAAAACCCTAGAGGAGAAAACAGGCAACAACCTCTTTGACCATAGCCACAGCAACTTCTTGCTTGATAAATCTCTGAAGGCAAGGAAAATAAAAGCAAACATGAACTACTGGGAACTCATCAAGATAAAAAGCTTCTGCACTGCAAAGGAAATAATCAACAAAACTAAAAGGCAACCGACGGGATGGGAGAAGATATTTGCAAATGATATATTGGATAAAGGGTTAGTATCCAAAATCTATAAAGAACTTAACCAAACTCAACACCCAAAAAACAAATAATCCAATGAAGGAATGGGCAGAGGACATGAACAGATACGTTTCCGAAGACATCCAGATGGCCAACACACACATGAAAAGATGCACAACATGTTTTTAAAGTCAAGTGGATAAGGACATAGATTTTGTACCTTTCCTAGTCAGCATTGCTCCCCCCCACCCCCCGGGTTCTGATGTTGACAACCATGATTTGCGGTTTATAATAATGAATTATCCATTGTTGCATCACTCAGGAGTAATGGTTTTAAGTGTGTAACTTAAATGCAAGCAATCATAAGCATTAACAGTCTGTGGATTAACTGTTGTGCTTTATACAGATACAGTGCTTGCTTAATTTTTATATTGTAAATATCGTGACCACATTTTCTAAGAGTTCAGAAAATGAAAATGAAAACAACTGTAATACCAACGATATTACCAAAAAAACCCTCTTATTTTGATGACAGATGTAAAGACACATCCACACCTGGATTAGAGAGG